AGGCGGGGAACGTTGGAGTCTGCAGCAAGCAAGCCTCGTGCTCGCTTCAGTGCCTGGCTGCCGGCTGCCATCTTGGCTGACAGTTAATTTGCATATACTCACTGATTAGCCAATGAAAAGGGTAGCGGTCGTACGCCAATTACCATGTTTCTCTTTTATTAGTGTAGATTGATTTCAGAGTGGGAGAGAGATAGAAACATCAAAGATAAGAGAGAGTCGTTGATTGGCTGCTTTCTGAAGGCCCCACACTGGAGATCAAGCCTACAACCCAGGTATATTCTCTGACCAGGAATTGAACCATTGACCTCCTGGTTCATAGGTCAATGCTCAACCACTGAGCCAAGCAGGCCAGGCCAATGAGTGGTTCTCAAACCATGTTCCCTGAGGTCCCAAGAACCCACAGAGATTGCCTAGGGGGAAAGGAAGGGGCTGAGCAGAGGGCACTAGGGTTCCCCAACCCCCAAGTCAATCAGAGTCATTGGGCTTCACCTGAGATCTTAAAAAAACTCATAGGGGGGATATTGATGCTCAGAAAAAGTGTGAAAATCAGGGCCCAGCAGGGCAGTTTCAGTCCATATGGCATCCGTGCTGGTCGTATAAAGACCATAAAGATCAAAGATTTCACCCCACCTTCCCAAGGCTGGGGTGGGGATTTTAACAGCCCTTCACCATCAGGTCCTCCTGCCATGGACTATCTGCGAATGAGACACGGTGAGCATTACAAGTGGACACTCTACACGTTGAACTCCAGTGCTGCTGTCTGTACCCGGAGGCTCATCCATTATGATCCTGACCCAACATAACCCTCTGTGGTCCCATATCTCCTTCAACACCTTGAATTAATGCTGTACAAAGAATCGCTGACCTGTGGACAATAACCAGGTCAGTGTGCCCCTCCCAGAGCCCATTGCAGACACTCTCCATGCGCCTGGTGGTTGGGGCCGCAGTGGCGACTCATCTCTGAGGCCCTCACAGCACCAGACCCAATGCCATGCACACCAGCCAGAGGACATTAGCTGGGCAAAGTAAAGCAATCCAACATCTGACCCTTCTCACAATGCGGGGGAAATAAAAGATGCAAGTGATAAACCCCCAAGTGTCAGAAAGCAGCTGCCTCACTGTGAACACCATTTCCTCTGGGCTTCCTGTGGGGAAACCTTTTGAGAGACGATATTGCCATGAGCACAGAAGTCCTGGGGAACAGAGAGCTGCCCTTACCTGGTAAAAGTTCTCAATGTGTCTGACCAAGATGGTCAAGTTCTCAATGCGGAGGTTCACATCGTTGTTCACATGCTGGTGGAAGCGCTGATTAGGCCTGGGGTCTCTAGGGGAAGAAACACGAGACTGGAAACGGCATCTCCCAGCATTTGCCACACTTCCCTTCCCAGCCTGGGTAGCCCTCACCAAGCCTAGGTCAGTGTGAGGCTGAAACCAGTGTGGCTCAAGTCAAACCCTAATCCTGCCCCTGCCGAGCCGTGGACCTTAGACAATACACATCCCTACCAACCCCATGACAAGCCCTACTCAGGCCCTTAGTCAAAGTCATTCCATTCCCACTCCTAGCAGCCCCCACAAACCACCACCAAATGCAGTGCAGACCCAAAAGGTTACACTGTGTGAAAATCAATAATCCAACCCCAAAATATATTTAAAAATTAAGAGAGCTGGAACTGAACACGCAAAATATATGAACCATCAAGAAAGAAAAAGGGGGGAAATGGTACATTTTCTGACTTAAATCAATAAAAATCATTAATGTTCTGCTTCACATGGGTTCCCCTCCTCTGTCACCAGCCTGGGTCTCGGGCTGGTCCTGTGATTTTACATTCTAGGGACACAATTCCCCCTGGACAAACCGACATCGTCAGTCCGTGGCACTATATGGTGTACAACGCCGCCTAGGAGACATGCTAACAGTGGACTCACAAGCAATTCATGTGGGAACCCCCAAAGTATCATTTACTTTCACTCTCCAGCAAAAGTCAGGTCTGGTCGTGATAAAACTAGAAATCTGAATTAAGTGACTTATAACTTCATTCATCGATATGTGTTCAGGATATTTCTCAAAATTCTCAGGCTCAAAAAAGTTTTCCTATCTGAAGAGAACAGACTCAACAGGAGGCCTTAGCTGCCACCTTGCCTGCTTTTCATAACGAAACCCTCCCCCGCAGTTACTGTCCCAGGACACAGGGAGGGGTGATAATTCAAATGAGGGCTGTCTTCCTGGGTTCATGAGGGCACTGAGCCTCCTGGGAGCTGGTCTGATGGAAGAGAGGCAGGCCTCTTCCTCTTTCCGCAGTAACCTGCCCCCCTCCATAATGAAGGGAAGATGGGGGAGGCATGGAAATCCATATCAATGCCATTCTGCTCATTTGAAGCCAATAATTAATACAAAATTGACAAATAGGAAAAATATCTACAAATAAACATGTCAAATGTCACTGGACGTACAATTTAAAAACCACCACCACCACAAGCTGTTTGAAAGTCAACCAAGACACAAGCAGCTGACTTGGAGAGGAGGACACTGGGGCTGGGGCTGTGGCAGCCCCGACTGCCCGGCTGGGAACCCGAGAAAACAGTCATCCTCAGAATGTCTGCGAATGAGATACAGTGTCTGCAAAGACCGAATTGAAATCTTTCCCTGGCAAATAGCACAGACCATGATGAAGGCCTGATTAAAAGGAGCACCGACAGGTCATAAACCTCCTCAAGAAAGAATCCCATGCCTTCCCCTTCGAGTCCCACAGATCCTAAAGATTGTAGAGACTTAAATGTTGATGGGTGAAGTGATGAGAGAAGCTGCCTCCCACTCACTGAGGCCAAGTTCACAGCAGGGGACTTGAGCACCAAGATGTAAACAAAGCCCAAGTGAACATGTGAGGGAAGAAAGAGGAGGTAGCAGGTGTTACTGGGCCAGTATTTGAACATGCCCAGGAAGGAACTGACAGCTATGAACTGACGGGATTAGCCAGAGGTGGGGAACAATTGGCGAAATTAAGTGAGGAATTATGCCAAAGCAATGGGACTACTGGTGGATCTGGCCTCTCGCAGCCTTCCTTGGTGACTTGGGATGAAGCTATGAAGATAACCAACAGGCGTGCAGATGCCACTGAACATGTCATCACCCCCCGGATTGAACGTGCCCCTGCTTACATCATCGCAGCGCTGGACACGGAGAGCGAGAAGAGTCCTATAGGTCAAGGAAAACACAGGAGAAGAAAAGAATCTCAAGGAAAAATCTGAGAAAGACTTGGCGCAACAAAGGGCCTCTGGGGAGGGGCGGAGCCTGACAATCTTCTGGCTGAAGAGAAGGCTGAGGCTCTTCTGATTGACAATCTTTCCTGCCCTGGTTCTTTCAAAGTCCTAACATGGCACCATTTTAGTTAAAAACTAGATTAATTAAATTAACTGCAGCCATGAAGTACATATTTGTTAGCTACACTAGGAGTCCCCCCCTTGCATGGCATGTATGCAAACCCCTTTATCCATTGCAGGCAATACTCAGCCAAGGGCTTCATTCAATCGCCCTGGATCCCCTAAAAGAGTCACATGGGGAAACAAGAGGACCACTTTTCAACTGTCAGGTGACAACAGTTCTTCCTGTCCCCACACAGTAAGAGAGTCTGGCCAAGCCACCTACACGTTACATGTTTCTCATGGAGCCATTTATTACTGAGGAAATAAAGGTGAGCAGTTCAGTGGAAATTAATTTAGGAACAAAGGAGGCTTTCAGCATTCAAACCACAAAGGCTCTTTGGCTGCAGAAGTGTGCCTGGCATCACAAAACAACTTGCCTGCAGGGTGCAGTTCTCCCTGGACGAGAGCACATTAAGAGATAAGAAGCAAGTTCATAAACTGACAAATGTGCTTCTTAACGTAGCAGAGCGTAGGGAACATGCAGGGCTTTTTCCTGTTCTGTTGTTGCTGTCGCCTGAGCTTTCATTTTTTTTCTGTAGTGAGTCACACAGGACCTGCAGGCCCACGCTCTATCCACTGAGCCAAACCGGCTTCAGCCAAATGTGCTTCATAACATAGCAGAGCATAGGGAACATGCAGGGCTTTTTCCTGTTCTGTTGTTGCTGTCGCCTGAGCTTTCATTTTTTTTCTGTAGTGAGTCACACAGGACCTCCCCAGGAGTGCCGGGAGCCAAAGGGCCTCAGCACACGGGGACACTCCACGCACCAGGGTGGGGCCTGGGCTCTGCTTCTCCCACCAGCTCTGAAGAGCAGTTCTAACTGAAACTCCACTCCAAAGAGCCCTGGCATTTCCTACCTGAGCAATCAGACTCATTACCATGATCATCCATCAGTACTCCCTCCTTTAAGGCTCTCAGGGCAAAGAAAGGTTATTAGGAACCAAATCCAAACAAGCCAACTATTGCTAAGGAAAGTCTATCCCACTCTGCCCAGGATGCGTAAGCCCCTCCTCTCCTGCTGCGGGAAAAACAGATCTAACGCTGCTGATTCCAATCTGGGCCAAATCAAAATGGTGTCCACTCTCACAAGTACATGCACACCAGCACAGGCATGCAGGCACATGGGTGTGCGCGCACACACACACGCATACACACACATACACACACACACACACACACCAGTCCTGGGCCTCACTCTAATGACAATGATGATGGACATTTGTTGGGCATTTTCTATATACATGATCTTTTTAATCCTCCCCAAGTCTATAAAATTCCATCCATTATTACAGATCAGGAAATGGAGGCATAGAGAATTTAAGGAATTTGCCCAAAGTAATAAACTAGTAAGTGGCAGAGGGGGGATTAAAATTTGCCTGCTTGATGCCAGAGTCAAAGCTCTTAGATGACTTTCCCACAAGACAGTGAAAAATGTGTGCAACGTGAATCAGACCCTTTCTTTTTCCTGGGGTATCAGTGGGTACCCGGAGATTCTGCATTTACAGAGGAGCGATTCGGCAAGTTTCTCATGCATCTCCATCCACGCACCTCAACGCCTCATGTTCATTCAGCGATTCTCCTAGACCAGGGCCTCCCCAGAAAGCTGAGCTCAGAGGGCTTTCCTGCTTCCAGGCACTCATGTCACTGGGAGGCCAGGGCCCAGGCTACTGCCCTACCGCAGCCTTCTTCAGTTGCCCAGGTGCAGTCACCTGAGCTCCCGCCAGCCGCCTGGTGGCTCTGAAGCGTTAGGTAACACGCCTCTTATCTGAGCTCCAGCAAGCCAGTGAGCAGATTGCTGCTCTCTTTCCTCAGTCCCATCAACCTGGGGAGCATTGGTCCAAACAGGTGAACAGCACTCAGTCGAAGCTCCCAGCATGGGCTTTGGTAAAGCAGAACAGCCTTCCCTGCTGGGTAGTTACATTTCTCCACTTGGCAGAAGTGAAAACAGGCTTAGCTTCAGTACAGGGTCGGATGTGGGGCTAGGACGTGGGTCCCAGAGTCCAGTTCTGTCCTAGACCGCACTGGGAGAGGGCTCAGGCTATGAATTATCATCATCTAGGAGACTAAGAATGTGGGAGGAAGACTGAAGAAACACAAAGACAATTCTTACGGGGTGCCTCAAATCCTTCCTGGATAAGGAGGGTATACACATAAGTGAGGGACTGACACTAACACCTTTTAGTGGCAGGCACTGCGCTACATGCTAACACATCATCTCATCTAATCCTCACAACCATCTCTTAAGGGAGGCACTTCACTTCCCATTTCACAGATGAGCAAACTGAGGTGATGAGTGCCACGCCCAGCGTCAGGCAGCTAGGATGTGAGATACCTGGACTTCAGGCCCCGCTGGCTCCCTACCTGTGGACACTAGGGCTGGGGTTCTTTTTCTTTTTCAATTGAGGGGATTGTTACATAGAGTGAAGTGCATACATCTTAAGTGACCGCTTGATGAGTTTTTAAAAATGAAACATACTCCAGTCATTATATAGAAAACCCCTCCCCCTCCCAGTTCTCCTGCACCCCTTTCCCAGTCAATCCCCACCACTTCCAAAGGCCACGAAGGTCCTCATGTCCACACCTGGAGCAGGTCATGCTCATCCCCAAGCAGTAAATTCTGCTGCTGGGGCCGCTCTCGCCTGCACTTCCTCGTTCTGGAGCGCCACCCAGAGGGCTTCCCCGCTGTCCCTCTTCAGTGCCTGCCCTCACCAGAAAGACTCAGAAGCCCTGCTTAAGGCCTTAAGACCCTCCAACGGGTCGGCTCTCACTTCTGGACGATTCCCTGGGCACATCACCGAGGAGAAAATAACATTTGAAATTGTCAAGGGGAGGGGAAAAGCCCTTCCAACTGAATTTAGCCACAGGCCAAGTGTGAACGAGGGATGAGCTGGCATTTCTCACAGGAACGTCCAACAGGCTTTCCTCCGGATCCACAAGCAAGTGGTGAAAGCTCAGGGATTCCAAAGCCAGGGAAGAAAGAGCCACAGCCCCCGGGTTTTGTCCTCCCTCCGCCTGTGAGAGCTGAGTGAAGAGGCTGGGGTGCTGCTCATTCTTTAAACAGTCTTGGGCTTGGGTAAGGGCATGTGGGAGTTTCACTGCCCCCCGCCCCCCGCCCCGCACCAATGGAATCCAGTAATTTTCAGGGTCTAACACCATGGGTGGGGGGTGGGGGGTAGGGTGGTTGCCAAAACTTGACTCTGCCCCCCGGGACAACACCAGGAAAATTCATTTTCATCAGTGTTCTCAGAGAAGTGCTGCCAAAGCTAACAGATTTGTCGTTTATGATCTAAGCAAACACAGGGTTGGTGGGTTGGTAAGGTTGGTGGGGCTTTTGAAAAAACACAGTAGAACTGAAGTGCCTCTCCCACAGCATGATAGCACATGACTTATTAAAACAGAAGGAGCTATGTGCTTGGGCAATTTCTTAAAACAGATCTTTTTGGGTAAGTCCATTTAAAACACTTTCTGAATATGCTAAAGCTAACTCCTCCAACTGCGTGGGCCACAGATGAAGCTGATTCTCATTAGCCAAAGGGTTTATGCTCAAGTCTGACAGCTTAGTTGCAGGTGAGTAGGTGAGCATAAGGGGTTGCTCCAAGGAGAACATTAGGATGTTCTCTTTTCCTTCAAGTGCCTCAGAACCACACTGACACAGTTCCAACACCTCCCCTACCGTTTCTGAGTTAAATACAGAGTGCAGAGGTAGGAGCCACCACCTCCGTGGGGCGGGCTGTCAGTCAGACAGGCTCTGCAGAATTCAGCAGCAGGAGAGGATGTGGTCCCGCATGCACGCTAACAAGTGCAACCTCCACCAGACCGTGCTTGAGATGCTCCAAATCCGTCCCTCAGCATCCTGACCCTTGTGCCTCTCCTAACACAGTGGCTTTCAATCCAGGACGTGAGAAGCCACTTAACTGACTGCACTCCCTGTGGGGCAACTGAACATGGAAGATGACGTGAAAGAGCTCGGAAACACAGGCGTCCTAACCAGGAGTGAAACCGCAGTCACTCTCAGTGCTCCCGACCCACGCAACACTTCCTGTAGCCAGACACTGTCCGCTACAGTTCCATGACCCCCCAAAAGTTTTATTTTTAAAATGTCATCGCTTAAACCACATTAATAGCTGAGTTTGAAGTAAATTGAACCATCTACACCAAGTGCTTGCCAGTCCCTCAGTTCTGAATATCCTTCATCAAACTGCCAGCCCACTGTCCTGCAGTTCTTCATCCCCAACGAATGGCAGCCAAAGGGCCCGTATCCTGAGGGACCCCTGGCCCACGAGAAACCCTCCCATAGCAACCGTCCATTTCTACACCCTTAAATCAAACCTTAAATCAAATGCTTCCATTTCTACACCCTTAAATCACAGTTTTGTCCTTTGCCTGTGAAGACAACTTACACTTCCAACATGACTTGGTTTAACAAGATGCCATCCACCAAGTGCATGTACAGGTGTTCATCGTTGCCGCTGGCGACTGGGCTCAAAGTTTTCACCTGCGAGGAGGGGGGGTGCGGACAGAAAGGCAGGAAAGGTCACCCCATGTGCACATTCTGAGGCTCCCGTGGAAACGGCGGGCAGGGCCCTGTGGGCTGCGCCCTTGTGGGCTGAAGGGTCACCCAGCGCCCACCCTCGCTGCAGTTAGCACCAAGCCCACCTCTCCCTGCCCCAATCGCAGCTACAGATGCGAGACAGCAGGAGGCAAACTCTCTCGCCACTTTTCTCCAGTGTCACAGGACAGGGAAAATGGAAAATAAAAGGGACTTTTCAACGCATTTCTCACACCTCTGATCTATCGGAGACACTGTGCCCATCCCAGCCGGTACACGTTCCCACTCAGAGACCCCTCCCCCCCAACCCTCACCCGTCACCGCCATCCACCGGTTGGTCTTGGTTCAAACACTACATCAGGGTATTTGGGGGGAGTGAGTGCTTTTCCCGAGTGGTCCAGCCACATGGGCCGGGGTGACGACTCACATCCCGTCCGCTCCTGGACCCGCAGCCTAGCGCCCTGGCAGGAGCAGGTGAACTCATCTCAGTCCAGGGATGGAAGCGCCAGGGGGTCCTGCACCTGGTGCATGGTGTCCAGAGTAGGAAACCCCTCAGGCCCCGCCCCCAGGCCAGGACCCCCCGCCCCCAGCTTGGAAACCTGCGAAGACTCCCGAGTCCCGACCCCACATTCTAAACGGCTCCTCACCCCACATTCCAAACGGCTCCTCACCCCACATTCTAAACGGCTCCTCACCCCACATTCCAAACGGCTCCTCACCCCACATTCTAAACGGCTCCTCACCCCACATTCCAAACGGCTCCTCACCCCACATTCTAAACGGCTCCTCACCCCACATTCCAAACGGCTCCTCACCCCACATTCTAAACGGCTCCTCACCCCACATTCCAAACGGCTCCTCACCCCACATTCTAAACGGCTCCTCACCCCACATTCCAAACGGCTCCTCACCCCACATTCTAAACGGCTCCTCACCCCACATTCCAAACGGCTCCTCACCCCACATTCTAAACGGCTCTTGAGCCTGTATTCCTAACTGCTCTAGGCCCCATATTCCCAAGGGCTCTGGCAGGGAACGCAGCTGGGTCGGGGGCTCTGGCAGCTCACACCCAATGTTAAGTGCTTTGGAATACACAAACATTATGTAATTTAAATTTAAAATCTCTATGAAATTTAAAATCTCTCTGGGCACATAAAATATAAGGAAATATAAAGGTTCTATATCTACATCCTATAGGATTATAAATAGAAATTAACCACTTAAACATAATTTTGCCAATCTCCATTTTAAAAATTATTTTTCCCATCAGCCAAATTACAGAAATTTGATCAGTTCCTTTGAGGGAACCATTCATTTTATTTTGTTAATTCTGACCTAGTAGCTCAGCTTGGGAATTCTCCTCTCCATTGGCAGTGAAAGGAGACGCTCCAGTCAGTAGTTCATACAACACCTAAGCTCCACCAGTCAAATATTCTAAAACAATTTGTTAGAATATTAGCTAATCTGTAATTTAGAAGAAAGAAACATGAACAAAATGAAGCTGTGTATTTGGAAAATATTTCATCAACACAAAGATTTTGTACATAACTTTCTGGGCAAGGAGCATTATACTAGCACATGCAAGAAAGACATTTAGAGAACAGATATGCAGGATTCTCAGAACAAAATTTAAACATCTAGGCTGTCAATAAATGAAATAAAAGGGTTCAAATTATTTTCTGAACTAGTAATGGTTTTATTTTGGTAAACTAAAGTTTTTTTAATTTTTTAAATTTAAAATCTCTATGAAATTTAAAATCTCTCTGGGCACATAAAATATAAGGAAATATAAAGGTTCTATATCTACATCCTATAGGATTATAAATAGAAATTAACCACTTAAACATAATTTTGCCAATCTCCATTTTAAAAATTATTTTTCCCATCAGCCAAATTACAGAAATTTGATCAGTTCCTTTGAGGGAACCATTCATTTTATTTTGTTAATTCTGACCTAGTAGCTCAGCTTGGGAATTCTCCTCTCCATTGGCAGTGAAAGGAGACGCTCCAGTCAGTAGTTCATACAACACCTAAGCTCCACCAGTCAAATATTCTAAAACAATTTGTTAGAATATTAGCTAATCTGTAATTTAGAAGAAAGAAACATGAACAAAATGAAGCTGTGTATTTGGAAAATATTTCAACACAGAGATTTTGTACATAACTTTCTGGGCAAGGAGCATTATACTAGCACATGCAAGAAAGACATTTAGAGAACAGATATGCAGGATTCTCAGAACAAAATTTAAACATCTAGGCTGTCAATAAATGAAATAAAAGGGTTCAAATTATTTTCTGAACTAGTAATGGTTTTATTTTGGTAAACTAAAGTTTTTTTAATTTAAAATAAATATAAAAAAATT